TAAATGATTATGCATCATTGTTTTAATCTCATGTATGTTGAAAAGATGATTATGATGAACATTTTAAAGTTATATTAATTTTTGAGAATTTTTAGTTCATCATAATGAATTTTGGTCAAAATTGGTTTTAAATGCAAATGATATCTCTCTAACAATTGATATCAAATTTCAAAATACTTTGATTTTATAAATTTTAATTTTTGGCCTAAATTTGAATGTTTATGCATGTGGTATAAATGAAAATGATATCTCTCTAGCAATTGATATCAAATTTTTCAAAATGCATAACATTTTTGGAAAACTTTATGCAAATGCACTTAATTTTAACAATTGGTATTAATATCAAATTTCAACAATTGATATTGCATAAAGTATTTTAGAGTTGGATATATTGAATTTCATGTGCCTTTAACATGTTTGTTATTCTTTGTAGAAATTTAATATTTTGTTTAAGTGTCATGAACTTAAAAGCTAAATTTTGTTTAGAATGCATTTATTGAGGGGGAGCTTTGATTTTTCAAATGATTTTTAAATGTCAAATTTACTACTTACTCTCCAAAGTTATTTTGAACTTCAAAGATTGAATTATTTTTTATATAACAAAAAGGGGGAGAAGTTTGGTTTGAAAAATTCAATTTCTTAATGAAAAAGGGGGAGCATAACATTTTCATATATTTTTCCAACAATTGGTAATAATTGATATCTTTTTCATTAAACAATTTATTAAGGGGGAGTTTTGCCAAAAACAATTTTTCAAATGTTTTGTTATATCAAAAAGTGGGAGATTGTTGAACTATGTTTTGATATAACAATTTAAGGCAAAATGTTTTTGGACTTGAATTGAATTTGCAAAATGTTTTTAGATTTGAATTGAATTTATTCAAAGTTTTCAAAAAGGTTTCAAAAATAATTCAAAGTCCATTAAATTCGGATTTGAGCAAAAATGCTAAAGGGTGTCAAAGTGCATCCATGCATCCCTGCAGTGCATCCATGCATCTGCACTAATGCATTGATGCATCAGGCAATACATCCATGCATCCAAACATCGAATGCAATTAGTGCATCGATGCATCCTTGCCATGCATCGATGCATCCTGCCATGCATCCATGCATCAAGGCTGCAACGGCTAGTTTATTTGAATTTAATGAAGGGGTATCGATGCACCTTGATCATGCATCGATGCATCATGTTATGGGCAGCCTTCTGAGTAGAAAAATCATCCCCAAACAACTCCAAAACATACCCAACGGCTATATACAACATCAAACACATTCCAAGCTATAAATACAAGCTGAGGACACTTGAAGAAGTAAGAGAACAACTATCCAATCAATCAAACACAAGAGAAGAGTTTTTCATTCTTATTTCATCTTTTTCTTGTAAATATTTTGTTCTTGTGAGCTCAATCTTGTAAACACCTACCTTAGAGAGGTTTTCTTGTTTACATCTTTTATCCTTTTGTAAAGGGGAAATGTTCTAGCTTATCCCGTGTAAAAGCTAAGGAAAGGTTCTAGTTTAACCCGGAAAAACTAGGGAGTTGTAAGGTTATCTCTTTGTCCTCAAAAGAAAGAACAAATTAGTGAATTTGTTGGAAAATCCTTGGTGAGGTGCTAAGGTAGTGGACGTAGACTTTGGTTGAGAAAGTTGAACCACTATAAATCGCTGTTCAATTCTTTATCTTTCAATCTTCTTACTCCCTAAACACAAAACCGTTTCGACCCCTCTTTGCAAACCGTTTCGGTTGTCGATTCGAGCTTCCGAAAAATCCTAACATATCCTTCTTTTTTGACACGGACTTGGCCTTGCCATGATTCCCCGATGGTTTTATTCGACCATGATCAGTCGATGCCACTTCCTGGCTACTCGAAGAGTTTTCTTCTCCATCTATTCAATATCCCTTGTCATGGTCTCCCCCATTTTCACCACTATCTTTAGCATGAGCCTAGACGACTCATCTTTCATTGGCTTGACTCTCGCAACCTCACACCTTGACTAGGATACAGTTCCGGCTTCTAAACAACTCTGGGTGTCATCTTGCTCATTGGCAGACATCGCCCCTGGTCTAAGCCCTTCAACGAAGGTCTTGAGCACACCATCATCACTCGGTGCTTCTTTGCACATGAGTAGCTCATTCTTGAGCCCATCCATCTCTTCCCTCAAGGTCATCACCTCGACCCTGAGCGCATTACTCATCTTTATCGACGTCCAATCGTTGAGACTTTATTATGTGATGCAGGGGGATCCGAGACAGATGATGTTGAGCTGTCAGATTGCACCTTGATGGCGCTGAGATACCATGAATTGGCAGATCAGCGCAAAGGCGGGAATTGATTGTGACATGTTCCTCATTAGGGTCGTTTTGAGTATGTTTCAGTCTTTTGGCCATAACTTTGGCTACAGGTGTCAGAATCACACATAAGACCCCAATCCGGAAATCTTTTTTCGATGTGCACGCTCTTCACATGGAGTTATGCTCTATGTGGCCTTTTTTTCAACCTCAAATTCTGCCGTTTTCTCCTCCGAATCACTAGAATTAGATATTTTTTACTATTTATGGTAATATTTCGATTGTCAATTAGGAAGTCAATTTAAATCCGATTTAGGCCGTATTTTTGGAGATTACTTATTTTATTTCGAATTTCAATTTAGAGTGATTTTCGGGATTTTGCTATTTTTGGCAAAATTCGAATAAAGACGATTTTTGGCTATAACAGTTCAGCTTGTGGACTGATTTTGGCATTGTTTGATTTGATAATATTTTATTAAACCCTAGAGACTTTTTTTTTTCTCTGGATTTTTTTGGGCGAATTTTCTCTTGTGAATCATCTGTTGGAACGCTTGTAGGATAATCACTATTCTGTCTGGCGTCATTATGCTACGTCCTTAAACCCTTCTATCATAGACTCTAGTTGTTCAAGACGGAACTCCATAACTTTTTGGACCTCCTTGGCTTCATCGATTAAGCTTTCAAGGTTCTTGATCCTCATCTCCAACGATCATGGGATAACTCCCACACTTTGTTTCCTTAACTTAATCCCACCACTGTGGCTCTCCACGTCATTCTCTATAGGAACAACTCATATTTGTTGTGTCATCTCGATCTATTTCCATAAAACTTGTCTAAAACACTCGTTGAATCCACAACAACTTCCTTTAACACGTTATGATGCTTCTTGTCACAAAATAAGCTCGGATCACTTTTGAATCCACAACACCTACACTTTGACTTGCTCTGATACCACTTGTCACGGGCTAGACTTTTATTAGTCGATTCGTGCGACACTTAGATGATTTTCAAGTCGAAATAGTGTCTAAGCTAGCCTTAATCATGTCATTGTGAGTCTCTAGATCACGAAGCGACGAACAAACCCGTTAGGGTTAGGCAACAATACGGAAACAAAACATCACTGGGGCAAATCCAAGCATCCAAGGTTGAATGAATCTCAGAAGCACGAATACTGTGGGGACTTCCTAAGTCACCATGACTTGAACCACTTTGGAACTTCGAAAGAACTCGAAAATGAATCATTCTCAAGGCTATCTCAGCCCTCACGTTCAGTAACACAAGCCACAAATGCTTCAACACAAAGAGGAACAAGCCGACAAGGCTAGAAAGCTAGAAACAAAGGAGCTTAGAGAGAAAATAAGAGTAAATGCCTGAGTTTATTACTCTAAAGGAATGGAATTGATGGAATGATTACAAATGAGGGGATGAGTTCTCTATTTATAGTTGAGGCCCTCAAGATCTGACAGTCTAGATCAAAATATATCGACGACTTAGATTGAATCCTACTTTATCAAGAACTCAATCTCTAAGGCATTTGAATTCAAATACAACATTATTCCTAATTAAGTATTTATCCCCTTAATTATTAGATAATATTATCCTTTATGAAACCTTCCAAGGAACGGACCAGGTTTAATAGTTATGGGCAAGTCCAACACTCCGTACGATTCTCCTACAGCGCACACATGTCTTAGTTCGAATCCACAAGCCTTGACAAAATTGCTCCCATCGAACATGTAACACCCTTGCTGATTCTCTCGAACGCCTCAGACTTGATCCTTCACGGACTCATAAGCATTCTCTAAGAACTTGACCAACTCATCATGCCCAAAAAACTCAAATATGTGCACGTAAAACCCCTCTCGTGAATATTTGTGCCAATGTCTATATATCTAAAAGTTTAGTCCTTGACACAATATAGAGAGAGAGGAGGCAGGCCAAACCCAGCAGGCAGATCGAGTAGCTATCTTGGTGTGGTCTAGACTCTAGAAGGAAAGAGATGTCAATCGTTGTTCCGTATCTTGTTTTCTCTCCATTTATATCTCTTTGCCATTTCCCGTGAAACCCCCCCCTCAAAAAAAAAAACTCTTCCTTCCCTACATTTCAATCCCTGCCTTCGCCTATTTTGACCATTGTACATGTTTTGAGTTCAATTTTTTTTTACAGATTTGCTAATAACAATAACAGATAGTGCAATACTTGTTCCAGTTAAATATATAGCATTAATTAATTTGAATGTGCAAATTGGCATATGGGGTTTGTCTTATATGTCTCTCCCTCTCTCTCTCTCCCTCGCTTCTGCTGAGGAAAAGAGACAGTGAAAGAGACAAAAGAGCGTACAAGAAGAGACAGAAGAAAGAACCGTGTAGCTTGTCCTTGTCGTATAGAATACAGATTTTGATTCTTTTTCCTTTTCTTCAGTTTTAGAAATAGAAAAACAAGTGTTAGAAGAAGAAGATCAAATATAATAATACGCCCTATCCCTCTAAGCTTTATTTATCCCAAAACCTAGCCATCAGCCATTTTCCCCCATAAAATAACAAGAGTTATATCAGTAGGGTTTTAACGTATTCGCTCTGTGTTTTAATCTGTCTCTCCTTGAAATTCCCATATTCATTCAAAGTTCAAACCCACTTTTTAAATATCGTAAACCTACTGTTTTATACATATATTATTGCAGTATTTTGGGAAGTGAATCGGCGGTGGTCATGTGAGAGAGAGAGAGAGAGAGACAGGTGGGGTCAGGAGTGTGGTGGGTTTCACTTTCACTGCGTTTTGGAAATTAGAATCGAATCTTCTTGGCTCCTTAAACAGTTTGGGAATAGGGTATGTGTGTGTGTGTGTGAGAGAGAGAGAGAGAGAGATTTTGGCAGTGATAATGGTGGGCTCGGTAGGATCTGTGTCTAAGTTGCTGACAACTTGTTTTGAAGAGAAGAAAGTGAAAAAGATGAGCTTTTCCTCTCTAGATTTCCACATACTATTGATTTCATGGGACCCTACTCCCACACTCGTATATGATGAATGTCTTAATGCAAACAAATTTTGATTTCATTCCCAGTTTTCACCTTCTTTTACATCATCATTTATTCAAAAAAAATCTTTCCTTCTGTTCCTTGTCCCAAAACACTATTCATTTTCATCGATGGGAGAGAGGACCCATTTTCTTTTACATCTCACGTTCCAGAGTTCCCCACCATGAATTAATTACATGATTAGGTTAATCAAAGGAGACACTTCTTTTACTTAATTTTGATCTTATTATGGTATGCAAACTTTAAAGGATAAGGTGACTGTAGCAGAGAGACCGAGGTCTGCAAACAATTTCCAGAAACGCGTATGAAAGATGAAGAGTGGTGGTATTTTATGATATCTAAGAAATGAACAAAACAGGAATCACGACAATGGCTACAACATGCAAAGAATTTCATCAACAACAATAAACCAAAGGAAAAAAGAAAGTGTGGGCATGCATGTCAGGAGCAGACAAAGAAAAATGTAGAGGGTTGCAGTTGCAGAAGGCCACCTGGGGTTGGTGAGGGTATGAACAATTGAGGGAAGAATTAAGAAAGTTCAAAGAGAAGGCAATTCCATTACAAATTGATTATCGGGACTCGAAGCTCACATTGATTCTTCCTGCCATCGTTCTGGCTAAATCTTTTTTGTTTAATTTCTTGTTCGTATATTTACTTTATTTATTTTTTATTAGAAGCTGTTACGGAGGAGGTAGCAAACAAAACAACCACCCCAAAAAAGGGATAAAAATCTAGTCTATATAGTACGGGATTTACTTTGCACCGACTAATTATGGTCTTTAGAAAGTAAATTTTAGAAAAAATAAATAAAAATCCATAAAAATTATTGAAAAGGGCTTTACTTTCTAAATGTGGTTCAAAATTGTTAAAATATGTTGTTATGGTTTTATACATATTATATAATTTGAAATTTGTTTTTTATTTTTTATTTTTTATTTTTTAAATTTTCACTTTTGCTTTCAAATTAAAAAAAAAATACAGATATTAAGTTAGGATTAACCGGAGGGAAAATCTCCTTTACTGAGAGTGGAAAGTACACTCTTCTTCCACAAAGGAAATGTAAAGAGGGTGGTGGAGGTATGGCAGATTTTTACTTTGTTTTTCCAATTATGAGAATCATTGGCATTATCAGTTGAGTATCTATGTGAAATAATTAGAAATCATTTTTTTTTTCACTTTGAACCATTGGATGCCCCAGATGTTGTTACTTTCCTTCACCCTTCACTGAATCCATTCCTCAGTTTTATAGGATCCCTCACTCTCCACTCGTTGCTGATATGGTTTTCATGCAATCTTTGTTTTGATGGAGTAAAATCCTAGACCACCCTTTTCCTTTATATATTAATTATCCTTTCCATTTCTGCTTTTTTCCCTATGGTATAAACTAAGTATATTTTATCATTCCAGGATACTGAATGTCTCTAAGCATGCTGTTTCCAAATGTAAGCATATAAACAAATATTTATTGGAAGATTACAAGGAAGAAAAGGAAAGCTGTGATGTTTTCAGTTATTCAATGAAAACTTTTAGAGCCAATGATTCAATCACCTGAAAGAAACATCAGCAAAGAAAGTTGGTCCGGCTCAACGGGAAGAAACATCAGCCTGGCTACAGTTTATACAGTTGTGAGTTAATTAGTCAGCAAAAGTAATAAAAAAATAGTAGCTGGCTAGCGGCTACATCCAGAGGGCATGTTTACCTTTACATGTTGAAGTTTGGAATATTAGGACAGCAAAGAAGAGAAACAAAAGAGCAATGCTAGAGAGCCCTATATGGCTATATCGTATAGGAAAATCATGGGATTCTAAATGCGACCGTGTCTTTTGCTTTGTTTTGTTGATAAAACAGCGAAAGCTAAGCAACAAAATGGAAAAGAGGACCCTCGTTTTGACATGAAGTGAAACCACCTTTCCCTTGACCATATTACCCAATGCGAAAGACACCAAAAGACGATGCTTCTGGGCTATTGAGGACCTGTTGACTATTTCATGATACGGTTATATTTCTATTTACTGCGTTAAAGGGAAGGGTTTCATTGTCAATTCCCAAAGACGCACTGCAACCAGCCATCCTCCCTGTGCCTGATTTTAAGAGAGGAGGAGGGTCACGGGTTTGTCTTGGAAGGCGCTTATTTAACTGTCCTAGACAGACATAAGACACATATTCTCGCTCACACCATAACCGAGGAGGGAAACAAAAAATATATATACTAATACTCACCCCCAAAAACAACACATTAAATATTGCAAAGAAAAGATATTAATACAGCCAAAAAGCAACAGCCGCTTCTTTACAGTAACCCCCTTTTCCCAAACATTTTTATCCCACCCAAGGATCTACCCTTCCAATATCTGATCTGACCTGATCGTCTTCTCCAAAACCCCTACTATCTCCCTCTAAACATCTCTCTCCTTGCTTTTCCTTCTCTTTCACTACTTTTTTTTCATCTTTCCATGGCTTTGATGCTTGATAATTGTGAAGGGATATTACTATCCCTCGACTCTCATAAATCAGTGCCGGCACCCTTCCTCACCAAAACCTACCAACTAGTCGATGATCCCACCACCGACCACATAGTTTCATGGGGTGAAGATGATACCACTTTTGTTGTTTGGAGACCTCCTGAGTTTGCTCGTGATCTCCTTCCCAATTACTTCAAGCACAACAATTTCTCTAGCTTTGTCAGACAGCTCAATACTTATGTATAAAAGCTCAATCTTTATCTCTTTTTTTATTGTTTCTAAAATCTTTGGCTTTTCAGTTATTTTACTGATCTGGGTTTTGTTTTTTATTACTATTTTTGTTAATGAAAACTAGGGTTTTAGGAAGATTGTACCGGACAGATGGGAGTTTGCCAACGAGTTCTTTAAGAAAGGTGAAAAACACTTGCTCTGTGAGATCCATAGAAGAAAGACTGCGCAACCGCAAGTGGGGATAAACCATCATCACCACCACCCGCCACATTCTCAATTGCTTAATGCCCCGAGTTTCTTTCCATTTCCTACCCGAGTCAGCATTTCTCCACCAGACTCAGATGAACAAGCCAACTGGTGTGACTCGCCACCTGTTTCTTCACCAGGAGGGGACATTGTAATCTCAGTTGTTGGTGTCGGTGGGGTTGGAGGCTATAACAGCTGCTCGGTCACAGCTTTATCAGAGGACAATGAGAAGCTGAGAAAAAGAAACAGTGTGCTAGTGTCTGAACTTGCCCATATGAAAAAGCTCTATAGTGATATTATCTATTTTGTTCAAAACCATGTTAAGCCCGTCACTCCTAGCAATTCATACTCCCCTTCCATGCTTCTTTATGGCCCTCCTTCATCCTTTCCTCCTCCGGTCATTAATACCACCAATAATAGTTCATTATTGCAAAAGCCTTCGAATCATCATCTTGGCCATTATTATCCAAATAGTACCTTGTCCCGAATGCAGGTTTTGAACTCTACAACTGCTACCTCACAAAGTTCCTTGACGATTCTTGAAGAAGCATGTAGCAACAGTTGCAAAACCAAGCTCTTTGGTGTACCCTTACAGTCCAAGAAGAGGGTGCACCCGGAGTATGGTGCAACTAACACGGAGACTACCAAAGCACGTCTGGTGTTGGAAAAAGATGATTTACGGCTGAACCTTATGCCTCCTGCATGTTAGTTTCATATAACCATTCAAGAATATTCTAGCTTCCATTTTTCAACTTTTTTTTTAGTTTTTTTCTATATTAATTGTCTTTGTTTATCTCTTAGAGTCTGATGATATTGTTGAAGGATATTTTGCGTGTGTAGGGGTGCTTGTGACGGTGTATATAAATTTAATGTGGGTAATATGTTGTTCCCCACTACCTAGCCACATAAATGCAGGAGGGTTTTGGTTAGAGTGAAGTTGAAAGTTCAAAACCTCAACACCAATCTTTTCTCTTTGATGTTTATTCAGTTTTCCATTGGTGCAATTTATTATTGCTCATACTCTTTTTCTTCTCCCTTTATTCATGATTCTGATGTCTGTATGTTCCAGTTACATATGTGCTTGCATTAATGCAGGAGAGAGATGGACAGTGTCCTCGTAACTTTCTTTTCAGTTCCAAAGAGAAGAAAAGAAAACTGAGAGCCTGTGTAAATCTCTGGCTATAGCTGCATCATTGCCAACTTCTCAAGCGCTTTCTCTGGTTACTCCATTAATGACTGATACGTACAACCATGCTTTTGGTACCATTTACTAAAAAAATGAGGTGGGGGTAAAAAATGCAACTGACATTGGTCTCGCATCAGTGTAATTATGATTAGTATTATCATTAATATCGTATCTATTATTGTCAAAAAAGAAGGTCATCATATCGTTCCATGATGTTCATAATCATAATCAGCTCCATTATCATTTCTAGTTGTCCATCTGAACTGTCAGTCAATCGAAGAAAATAAAGAAAGAAAACCCCGAATTACAGAGTATTAAATTGAGAATCAGATAGGAGCCAGAGAGAGAGAGAGAGAATTCCAAAAGGGTTAGTAATTCGATGACAGCGAAATAATAGAGAAAACGCATATAAATGCTGGTTTGAAATGTTTCAATCAAGGTTTCTATACTTCTTCTGAGGACCAGAAAACCTTAGCCGTTTCCTACTTTATGTATCTGATCAACGTCTCCAAAATCCATCTTTGGGTCTCTCTTTCTTTTTCACTAATTCCAATTTTTCTTTCCACTTCTTATACACCAGAAAAGCCCATAGAAAATATCAGAGAGGAACACATAGAGTTATAGACCTTAAGATATAACCCTAAACTGGTAGCTAAACAATGAAACCCTTCTTCTCTTTAATGTCTTCTAGTTGTTGTCTCTTTGTCCAAAATCCCAATACAAATAAAATTTTCACGCATTGTTTGACTAAGCATATTTAAATTTTTTATATTTATAATTAGGATCTCCAATTTTTATATTTATAATTTGGACCCTTAATATTTATAATTTCATAAAAAATTTTGTTTTTGACTCTATTTTTTCATTTCTCTTATTAATTCATTCAATTTTAAATTAAATTTAACCACTTTTGATATTTATAATTAGGGCTCCTAATTTTATAGTTTCACAAAATGTTTAATTTTCGACCCTCTTTTTCCGGTTCTCTTATTTATTCATTCAATTTTGAATTAAATATAATCATTTTTTCTCTTTTTTCAAATCTTACTCTTCAATTTATCAAATATTCTTTAATTTTTAGTCTTTTTCAATCTAAATCTATTTTAGATTTATTCTCTTACAGTTCTTTTATTATATATTATTCAAAGTCAAGCTATGTATCATATATGTATTCAATCTTTTTTAGATTTATTCTCTTTTAGTTGTATTTAAGGTGTTTTCTTAATAAAATAATAAAAATAATATATTTTCTCAAAATTCAATTATTTTTCTAGATTTATTTATGTAATATTAATTAATTGTTCAAAGTAATGAAATTTACTTTCATTTTATAAAAGTATATATTTTTTTAGTTTTGCATCATCTTCAAAACAAATCTACGCGGATGCACAAAATTATATTATTATCTTAAAGTAGGCAGTGTAAAACCCAGTCTATTGAGCAAGCACCCACACATTCAAAGAGAGAAACAGTGAAGAGAAATGGAAAAGCTGACTACTTGGGGCTAGTAAAGATAAAATCCCTTGTTCCTGAAGGAGTACCAGTTATGAGTCTTTGGCAGTTGGCTAAAATTTTGAAAATCTGCAAAGGTTTTCATATTAGTGTTCCATCTTAATAGACTGTGTTCGTTTATCATAATCCTGCTTGATACTAAACAATTATTCTCTGAACTCTTTTAAAAGTGTGCTTCAATAATAGTTTCATGCTCATGATCAACAAACAAAAGAATCTAGTATAAGTGGAGATTTATATTTTTATTCCCCAAACCTCAGTTTCATTCTCCATCTTCTATTTGTTGTGCCTTTTTTTTTGGATAATTAGAATTTTATTACCCAAGAGCAAAACCTGCTACAAAATAATCAGTGTTCAAAGAACATCAGGACAAACTACATACAAAAGAATCAAAATTAAACTATGTCCCAATGCTTGCAAAGATGTGTATTAACATTATCAACACTATTAAGAGGTCTACCACTAAGTTGAGATCCAACAATGTCCTTGATGGCTCTAAGAAGATCTGGTGCATTTCTAGATCGGTTTTGGAACATACGCTTGTTTCTTTCTTCCCAAAGAATATAAATCAAAGCATTTAGAGCAATCTTCATTATGGCAGTAAGTAAAGATTTTCCTTTCCAAGTAGAGGAACCCACGTGATAAAGATTTCCCAAGAGCAAGCTCTAAATTGAAGGCCAGAAAGGTAGAAGATCGAATTCCACAAGAAATCAACCATGGGACAGTGAAGGAATAAGTGGTCTCTACTTTCCAATGGATCATCACAAAACATGCAATGGCTATCATTGATAAGCCCCATACGAAGAAGTCTATATTTAGTAGGAAGACGATCAAGAAAAGCCATCCAAGTGATCAAACTATGTTTTGGAATATGGAAAGGAAACCAGATAATTTTCTGCCAAGGAACAAGGGGATGTCTTACCTGAATAGAGTCCCATATACTTCTCACTGACTTAGCTCTATAAGACAGAATGGAGAATGCCTCAGGCCTTAGTTTGAAAATTCTCTTTAGACTCTAGCTGGCAGAAGGGCGAATTTCAGCATTCCAGAAGTCGTTTTCTTTAAGGACATAACTTTTAATCCAGGCCACCCAAAGAGAGCCTTCACCTGCAAGAATTTTTTTTGATAAGAGAGCATACAAGCTCTATTCCATGTTTTTAGGTCCTTAATACCGAGCCCTCCCTCCGATTTAAGGCAGCAGATATTATGCCAGCTTACACGTTCTCCAGAAGCAGATCTGTCTGATCTTTTCTAGAAAAAATGGGAACATAATTGTTCGAACTTCTTAAGGGCAGAGAGAGGCAAACACTATATGAAAAATGACTTTTAGCGACGTTTTTTTAGTCCTATAGCGACGTTTTTAAGCGTCGCTAAAAGCACTTGCGGCGATAGGAAAAACGCCGCAAGAAGCGCTGGCAATACCAGTGCCGCTAAAGTTAGCGGTGTTTGAGAACAAAAAACGCCGCAATAGGTCAAGATCTATAGCGGCGTTTTTGGAACAAATGCCGCAATAGGTCGATATCTATAGCGGCGTTTTTGAACA